AAACTTCTTAATGATTTTATTCTGTGATCTATTTCTCTTAAAAATTATGTAATAGTATGTAATAATTTGCAAAATATGTAAGGATTAAAAAATACATATCGGTTAGATAAAAAATTACATTGCCCATCCCTAGTATCTGCCTACTTATTATCGTTATTGTTATTAATTTAAATTATTTTCATATTCATTTAATACATACATCATTCATAAGATCAAAAAAATATGTACGTACGTATATACAGTACAAACATAAGATAAAAAAAATACATACATACGTAAAAAAGTACATATATACATATATACGTACATATGTAACTGATTTTTAAATGATATATACGTATGCATATAATAAAAATATATCATTTTTTTTTTGATTTAATTATTAGGGCCATGACATATATTACCTAATATTATTGGGGTGGGTAGCGCAAGATCTTAGGTTACACATATAAATTTGCCCGCCAATCATTATCACATTATATTTCAAGATCTAGAGCCAATGAAAACACACAATCTTGTGCAACATAACTCATACAAGTAACTGTATAAGAATGAACCTAGTGACTTTCTTATATTAAGAGTTAGTTATAAATAAAAAGTGCGCGAATTATCTTACCCATCTTTTGGGGGCCATCTTGGTTAATTTGTTGTAAGTATTTAGACAAATGCATATGTACGTACGTATTGTATACATAACGGGGTTAGGATTGGGTTGGTGCTAGTATATACGATACTCTTTTTATGTTATAGTTTTTAATATAGAGTTCACAAGATAATATATTTATTATAGCATAGTTGATGCTTTATTTCAACTTTTTCTTGTTGTCTAATAATTGATTGAATTGCGGTTTTCTAATCTAACTATTTACAGATGCTAAAAACTTTTTTTAATATTTTTTTAACAATTTCAAACTAATTCTAAACACAATGCTAGACTAATTACTCATTATCCGAAGTCTATTCTCTTAAATGTAATTCATCAGACAAAAGTATTTGATCGTATTGCTGTGATGGAAGAAGGGAGAAATCATCAAAAGTTAATAAGTTTTGCTCAATTTGATTTTTAGATTTTTCTTTGGGTCGTCCACGACTAGTAGGATGCATTAACCGTTTGTGATATATCAAGTATATAAGTATCGGAAAGTATTTGTTATACTTGGAACAACTAAGGCGTGAATAAGTTGTTTCATCAAGAGATAGACAATGTGAATTATAGTTAGAAATCTTTTTTTTGTTTTTTTTTTGATCTTTTTTTTGTTTTTCTCTATTTTGTCGCTCAAGTTCTTCTGCTTTTCTTTGTCAGTGCCCTCAAACTGCAAATTCTCAAAAGAGTTTGTAAATTCTTCAACATACTGTGTATTTACATACTTTCCAAAAATCAAATCATGACTCCAAATATTGCAGAGAGCTTCTTCAGCATATTTAAAATTTTTAAGGGCCAACTCTGGGTTAATTAATTTACCCTGAGAATTTAGATGCATTCCAAAGTAATCAATTGGTAATACAATGCCTGCCAATTTACCAGAAAGCGTCGCCATTCCTCTCTCAACAGGATTATATTTGGATTGTCCTGGGGCATTTGTTCTTACAGTCAAATAATCCAAATTGAACTTTCGAAAAAGCAAACAATATGACTTAATGTTTTTTAGGTGTCTTGGGTTCTCGTTCGGTCCTCCGTTCACTAATAATACCCAGATTGGTCAAATTTCTCTATTAGTTTTTAACACAGCATCATATTGGGGATTTAAAGTAAGACTTTCAAGATCATGAATGTGCGCAAGTGAAGATGTACCAAGAGACCATTGGTGGCATACAAAAATAGCAAGCTGTCCTGTTCGTAGCTCATCATTTGATTCATTTGGGTTAATTATAAGGTATACTGATGGAACTAGTTTTTGTTCAAACCCTATAGAGAAATCATGATCTGGTATACAAATAGGATCATTGATTGATTGCAATCTGTGAAATATTTGACCTACAGCGGGCATGCTAAGACCTATCTTCGCTTTATCATCTTGAGAGATGATTATTGACATATTAGCAAAAACAGACGCAAATTGTTTTGCACATTTGATGGACGCAAAACAATAGTGACTATCAGGATGTTCATATGTCTCAGTACGTGAAACACCAGTAACCGAGATCCACACTGAATGATGGTGTGCCTTCGCGGCAATGAAATTGGACTGGCGAGGTAATAAGTAATTATTTAATGTTGTTCGTGCCATGTAGACACCATAATTCTCTTCAAGATTTTTATGTAAATTCTCTATTATCCATACTTTAACCACTTCTTTTCGCCATTTTTCATCAGCTGAACCAAATTCAACTGATTCATGAATATTGTCATGTAGGTGTGGATATTTAAAAAGAAGCAATGGGCGATCTGGCCGATCATATTTAATTACTTCCTGATTTTCAATAAGTAATTTTTTTTTTCTCTTTACAGTTTTGAACATACTTTGTATTTCTTTTTAACTTGGTGATTCTATCTTTATTAGCTTTTACTTGTTTTTGAAGCTCCTCTATTTTTGTATATATATCACATCGAAACTGAGGGTCTGTTGTAATGTTGTACATTTGCTTAAGCTCTGAAAGTCTTTCTTTAGCTATTGTGATTTCGCTTGCCACATTTTTTTGTGCTGCTGCATTTGCTGGGATTTCAGGTATAGGTTCTACTGAATAGATAATAGGAAGGGAAGGCATTAAACTTTCTTCAGGAATAAAATAGTTTGGTTTTATTGTTTGTATATCATATAGATTAAATGGCATGGACAAATATGTTTTGATTATGCTGTTAATTTTCTCTGCATCTTTAGTTTTAATTTTGTTCCATTTCTGCGTTGCCTCGCGGCAAACTTGAGCACGATTAGGAGTACCATTTGCTGTTTTTATCATGATTTTATATACATAAGCGTTTGAAAACTCCTGATATTTGTTTTCTGGTGATTTATAAATCAGATTTTTACTATATTTGGGGGTTAAAAAAAAAGTTTGGCGAAATG